CGTGTTAGCGGAGAGTGTTCCGGCACGCAGGGCGTGCACAGCGCAGCGTGCAGGTCTGCATCGCTCCAGGTCTTGTGAGCAAGTGAGCATGTTAGTGAGACAAGGTGAGCGCTGACCATAAGCCTTGCTGGCCGTGTTAGCGGAGAGTGTTCCGGCACGCAGGGCGTGCACAGCGCAGCGCGCAGTTCTGCATCGCTCCAGGTCTTGTGAGCAAGTGAGCATGTTAGTGAGACAAGGTGAGCGCTGACCGTAAGCATTGCTGGCCGTGTTAGCGGAGAGTGTTCCGGCACGCAGGGCGTGCACAGCGCAGCGTGCAGGTCTGCATCGCTCCAGGTCTTGTGAGCAAGTGAGCATGTTAGTGAGACAAGGTGAGCGCTGACCATAAGCCTTGCTGGCCGTGTTAGCGGAGAGTGTTCCGGCACGCAGGGCGTGCACAGCGCAGCGCGCAGTTCTGCATCGCTCCAGGTCTTGTGAGCAAGTGAGCGAGTCTGTGATACAAGGTGAGCGCTGACCCTAAGCCTTGCTGGCCGTGTTAGCGGAGAGTGTTCCGGCACGCAGGGCGTGCACAGCGCAGCGTGCAGGTCTGCATCGCCCCAGGTCTTGTGAGCAAGTGAGCATGTTAGTGAGACAAGGTGAACGCTGACCGTAAGCCTTGCTGGCCGTGTTAGCGGAGAGTGTTCCGGCACGCAGGGCGTGCACAGCGCAGCGCGCAGTTCTGCATCGCTCCAGGTCTTGTGAGCAAGTGAGCGAGTCTGTGATACAAGGTGAGCGCTGACCCTAAGCCTTGCTGGCCGTGTTAGCGGAGAGTGTTCCGGCACGCAGGGCGTGCACAGCGCAGCGCGCAGTTCTGCATCGCTCCAGGTCTTGTGAGCAAGTGAGCGAGTCTGTGATACAAGGTGAGCGCTGACCCTAAGCCTTGCTGGCCGTGTTAGCGGAGAGTGTTCCGGCACGCAGGGCGTGCACAGCGCAGCGTGCAGGTCTGCATCGCCCCAGGTCTTGTGAGCAAGTGAGCATGTTAGTGAGACAAGGTGAGCGCTGACCGTAAGCATTGCTGGCTGTGTTAGCGGAGAGTGTTCCGGCACGCAGGGCGTGCACAGCGCAGCGTGCAGGTCTGCATCGCTCCAGGTCTTGTGAGCAAGTGAGCATGTTAGTGAGACAAGGTGAGCGCTGACCGTAAGCATTGCTGGCCGTGTTAGCGGAGAGTGTTCCGGCACGCAGGGCGTGCACAGCGCAGCGTGCAGTTCTGCATCGCCCCAGGTCTTGTGAGCAAGTGAGCATGTTAGTGAGACAAGGTGAGCGCTGACCGTAAGCATTGCTGGCCGTGTTAGCGGAGAGTGTTCCGGCACGCAGGGCGTGCACAGCGCAGCGTGCAGGTCTGCATCGCTCCAGGTCTTGTGAGCAAGTGAGCATGTTAGTGAGACAAGGTGAGCGCTGACCGTAAGCATTGCTGGCCGTGTTAGCGGAGAGTGTTACGGCACGCAGGGCGTGCACAGCGCAGCGTGCAGGTCTGCATCGCTCCAGGTCTTGTGAGCAAGTGAGCATGTTAGTGAGACAAGGTGAGCGCTGACCATAAGCCTTGCTGGCCGTGTTAGCGGAGAGTGTTCCGGCACGCAGGGCGTGCACAGCGCAGCGCGCAGTTCTGCATCGCTCCAGGTCTTGTGAGCAAGTGAGCGAGTCTGTGATACAAGGTGAGCGCTGACCCTAAGCCTTGCTGGCCGTGTTAGCGGAGAGTGTTCCGGCACGCAGGGCGTGCACAGCGCAGCGCGCAGTTCTGCATCGCTCCAGGTCTTGTGAGCAAGTGAGCGAGTCTGTGATACAAGGTGAGCGCTGACCCTAAGCCTTGCTGGCCGTGTTAGCGGAGAGTGTTCCGGCACGCAGGGCGTGCACAGCGCAGCGTGCAGGTCTGCATCGCCCCAGGTCTTGTGAGCAAGTGAGCATGTTAGTGAGACAAGGTGAACGCTGACCGTAAGCCTTGCTGGCCGTGTTAGCGGAGAGTGTTCCGGCACGCAGGGCGTGCACAGCGCAGCGCGCAGTTCTGCATCGCTCCAGGTCTTGTGAGCAAGTGAGCGAGTCTGTGATACAAGGTGAGCGCTGACCCTAAGCCTTGCTGGCCGTGTTAGCGGAGAGTGTTCCGGCACGCAGGGCGTGCACAGCGCAGCGCGCAGTTCTGCATCGCTCCAGATCTTGTGAGCAAGTGAGCGAGTCTGTGATACAAGGTGAGCGCTGACCCTAAGCCTTGCTGGCCGTGTTAGCGGAGAGTGTTCCGGCACGCAGGGCGTGCACAGCGCAGCGTGCAGGTCTGCATCGCCCCAGGTCTTGTGAGCAAGTGAGCATGTTAGTGAGACAAGGTGAGCGCTGACCGTAAGCATTGCTGGCTGTGTTAGCGGAGAGTGTTCCGGCACGCAGGGCGTGCACAGCGCAGCGTGCAGGTCTGCATCGCTCCAGGTCTTGTGAGCAAGTGATCATGTTAGTGAGACAAGGTGAGCGCTGACCGTAAGCATTGCTGGCCGTGTTAGCGGAGAGTGTTCCGGCACGCAGGGCGTGCACAGCGCAGCGTGCAGTTCTGCATCGCCCCAGGTCTTGTGAGCAAGTGAGCATGTTAGTGAGACAAGGTGAGCGCTGACCGTAAGCATTGCTGGCCGTGTTAGCGGAGAGTGTTCCGGCACGCAGGGCGTGCACAGCGCAGCGTGCAGGTCTGCATCGCTCCAGGTCTTGTGAGCAAGTGAGCATGTTAGTGAGACAAGGTGAGCGCTGACCATAAGCCTTGCTGGCCGTGTTAGCGGAGAGTGTTCCGGCACGCAGGGCGTGCACAGCGCAGCGCGCAGTTCTGCATCGCTCCAGGTCTTGTGAGCAAGTGAGCATGTTAGTGAGACAAGGTGAGCGCTGACCGTAAGCATTGCTGGCCGTGTTAGCGGAGAGTGTTCCGGCACGCAGGGCGTGCACAGCGCAGCGCGCAGTTCTGCATCGCTCCAGGTCTTGTGAGCAAGTGAGCGAGTCTGTGATACAAGGTGAGCGCTGACCCTAAGCCTTGCTGGCCGTGTTAGCGGAGAGTGTTCCGGCACGCAGGGCGTGCACAGCGCAGCGCGCAGTTCTGCATCGCTCCAGGTCTTGTGAGCAAGTGAGCGAGTCTGTGATACAAGGTGAGCGCTGACCCTAAGCCTTGCTGGCCGTGTTAGCGGAGAGTGTTCCGGCACGCAGGGCGTGCACAGCGCAACGTGCAGGTCTGCATCGCCCCAGGTCTTGTGAGCAAGTGAGCATGTTAGTGAGACAAGGTGAGCGCTGACCGTAAGCCTTGCTGGCCGTGTTAGCGGAGAGTGTTCCGGCACGCAGGGCGTGCACAGCGCAGCGTGCAGGTCTGCATCGCTCCAGGTCTTGTGAGCAAGTGAGCATGTTAGTGAGACAAGGTGAGCGCTGACCATAAGCCTTGCTGGCCGTGTTAGCGGAGAGTGTTCCGGCACGCAGGGCGTGCACAGCGCATCGCGCAGTTCTGCATCGCTCCAGGTCTTGTGAGCAAGTGAGCGAGTCTGTGATACAAGGTGAGCGCTGACCCTAAGCCTTGCTGGCCGTGTTAGCGGAGAGTATTCCGGCACGCAGGGCGTGCACAGCGCAGCGCGCAGTTCTGCATCGCTCCAGGTCTTGTGAGCAAGTGAGCGAGTCTGTGATACAAGGTGAGCGCTGACCCTAAGCCTTGCTGGCCGTGTTAGCGGAGAGTGTTCCGGCACGCAGGGCGTGCACAGCGCAGCGTGCAGGTCTGCATCGCCCCAGGTCTTGTGAGCAAGTGAGCATGTTAGTGAGACAAGGTGAGCGCTGACCGTAAGCATTGCTGGCCGTGTTAGCGGAGAGTGTTCCGGCACGCAGGGCGTGCACAGCGCAGCGTGCAGGTCTGCATCGCTCCAGGTCTTGTGAGCAAGTGAGCATGTTAGTGAGACAAGGTGAGCGCTGACCATAAGCCTTGCTGGCCGTGTTAGCGGAGAGTGTTCCGGCACGCAGGGCGTGCACAGCGCAGCGCGCAGTTCTGCATCGCTCCAGGTCTTGTGAGCAAGTGAGCATGTTAGTGAGACAAGGTGAGCGCTGACCGTAAGCATTGCTGGCCGTGTTAGCGGAGAGTGTTCCGGCACGCAGGGCGTGCACAGCGCAGCGCGCAGTTCTGCATCGCTCCAGGTCTTGTGAGCAAGTGAGCGAGTCTGTGATACAAGGTGAGCGCTGACCCTAAGCCTTGCTGGCCGTGTTAGCGGAGAGTGTTCCGGCACGCAGGGCGTGCACAGCGCAGCGCGCAGTTCTGCATCGCTCCAGGTCTTGTGAGCAAGTGAGCGAGTCTGTGATACAAGGTGAGCGCTGACCCTAAGCCTTGCTGGCCGTGTTAGCGGAGAGTGTTCCGGCACGCAGGGCGTGCACAGCGCAACGTGCAGGTCTGCATCGCCCCAGGTCTTGTGAGCAAGTGAGCATGTTAGTGAGACAAGGTGAGCGCTGACCGTAAGCCTTGCTGGCCGTGTTAGCGGAGAGTGTTCCGGCACGCAGGGCGTGCACAGCGCAGCGTGCAGGTCTGCATCGCTCCAGGTCTTGTGAGCAAGTGAGCATGTTAGTGAGACAAGGTGAGCGCTGACCATAAGCCTTGCTGGCCGTGTTAGCGGAGAGTGTTCCGGCACGCAGGGCGTGCACAGCGCATCGCGCAGTTCTGCATCGCTCCAGGTCTTGTGAGCAAGTGAGCGAGTCTGTGATACAAGGTGAGCGCTGACCCTAAGCCTTGCTGGCCGTGTTAGCGGAGAGTATTCCGGCACGCAGGGCGTGCACAGCGCAGCGCGCAGTTCTGCATCGCTCCAGGTCTTGTGAGCAAGTGAGCGAGTCTGTGATACAAGGTGAGCGCTGACCCTAAGCCTTGCTGGCCGTGTTAGCGGAGAGTGTTCCGGCACGCAGGGCGTGCACAGCGCAGCGTGCAGGTCTGCATCGCCCCAGGTCTTGTGAGCAAGTGAGCATGTTAGTGAGACAAGGTGAGCGCTGACCGTAAGCCTTGCTGGCCTTATTGGCGGAAAGCGTGCCGGCGCGCAGGGCTTGCAGCGCAGCGCGCAGGTCTGCATCGCTCCAGTTCTTGGCGCCGCCGTCCTTCTTTGGCGTGTCGATGCCCATCCGGTGCGCACGCTGCCATAGCGTTGTGGACGGAATGCCGTACGTCGCCGACGCCTGCAAAATATTCGTTTCATTTATACTACGCTATTATGAATATCATTCATTTAGGTATATGCCGCATTCCAGTCGTTTTTTAATCCGTAACAACTCGGATTTTTAAGACAAAGATCAACTGTGTCCAATCCATTAGTTTTTAATGATTACACCTCCCTACAAATGGAGTCAGGAGCACGAGTTGATACTATTCAAGGTTAATTTTCAAAGAACAGCCAAATTTTATATTGAAGTTCAAATATATAATTTACTATATACTGATATTAAATGATTTGAAAATACTAGTAAATAAGGCTTTAGGCCGGCCACATATGAAACGGAATCCCGATTCGGGATTCTGTTTTGGAATTCCGAATTATATTTAATTTAGATTTTAGATAATATAAAATAATTAAATCTATCTTGTTTGTCCTTGTGTAATTTATGTTTGTAAGCTGCCTCCACGACACAGGAGAAAATCCTAGTGTGGCGGTAACGTTCTTTTAAGAATTAAAAAAAAAAATCTAAGTACTAAAAATATATATGTAAATAAGAGCGCTGGCTTCGATAGCATTCACCCTGTTTTTATCAAATCTTGTACTTTCATATCTATTCATTGAAACAGAAACAGAAACTTTTTGAAGTAATACTTCTTTTGGGGCGTTTGGAAAAAATGATGAGAGTGAATTATTACGATGCGCGCGCACACCGACAGCTAAAAACGACACCGTGAAGTTGTTACGATGCGCGCCTGCACTAAAAGCTACAACTTGAGTGGGTAATTGTCTCTCAAGTTTTTTTGTTTTGTTACATTAAAGAAGTTCCTACGTGCACACACACACACACACACTTTATTTTTTATTCAATTTAGATTATAAATAATACTCTGATAACACTAACATTTTCGAAGTAATAGTTTGCTAAAATCGCGTGCTTGCCTAGTTATCAGAGATAATCTGCCTACTAAACTGCAGACTTGTTTAGACAAAAGAAATAAAATAAGGTTGTTTTTATTAACGATGATAACAAATAACAATGATGATGAAGTTCTTCTGGCCAACCTTGTGATGGTTTCTTTTGATATGTTATAATTTATACCTTAATGAAACATATCAAGGGTATGACGCGCGGTGATTAAGTACCCTCTACCTCCCCTACCTTGCTCCAACCCACACTTACCTTGGTGAGACTCATGCGACGGTCTCGCAGGGCTTGCAGCGCACACTCCATGTCTCGCGGCGCCCAGCCCTTGCTTCCGGGGCTGCTGCGCGCCTCCCCCTCTCCACCTTCACCCCCTACTCCTACTCCACTAGTTTCGCTCGCCTCATCACTCAACTGTAGTTGTTCTGTTGTAATATTTTTATAGAATTAATGGTCAATTACTCACACGTTACTCAATTTTAAGATGTAATTTTATGATAGAGACAACACGAGACTTAACGAAATCTTAAAATTGAGGAGCATTTGAGTATTTGGGCATAAAGATGACAAACGAGCAAACAGTCTAATCAATCTAAAGCAGCAAGCACCTAATTGTACTATCCTCGATTAAGAATCAAACTACAGCTGCGTTTGCACCGTAGGGGATTAAGACGGAATGCCTCCAGTAAAATGCGAGCATAGTCCATCGCCAGTCGAGCCAACCCATTCGTACTGCAAACAATCTATCAAAAAAAATCCAGTCTACATTTCTAAAATTATGGAGATTTATACAGTGTGGGCCACAAACTTTTGCACTTTTGTAATCGATCGCGCGGTTCCTGGCTTCTTAGAAATTTAGCCACAACGCATCGCCTTCAACGCGCGTTCTGTCTAAAGAACAAAAGCAATGATTCTTACGTCGCTGCTCGTCGCCTATTTCGATTTGCGTTACATTTAACAAACAGGGCGGCCACGGAGCAAAAGGAGAGAAGAGACCGTGGTGAAAGTAAACGAGGCTGTGCGGAATGATCCAAGATTATCTACGTGCAAGCGTTCAGATGCTTTGGCGATATCCCGAACAACTTTGCATCGAATATTGAAATCGGAGTTAAAACTGCATTCCTTTAAGATAAAGAAAACGATTTAATTTTAAGAAAAAAGTTTGTCGATACGATGTTCGAGCGGTTTAGCAACTTCAATAATATTTTCTTTTCGGACAAAGCCCATTTCAACTTAAATGGGCGTGTCAATAAACAAAATTGCAGATTCTGGAGTAGAGAAAACTTTTATGATAAACAAAACATCAAAAACCTTTGCATTCTCCAAAAGTGAGGGACCTTTGAAGACATTGCCGCCCATACTTCTTTGAAAATTCAGAATATGTAAAAATTCTAGGAGATTTTCTTTAACCACAGTTACAGCATTTTAAGGGTTACAACAGTATGACATGGATGCAGCAAGATGGCACTATTTGCCAAACGGCCAACGAGAATTTACCCATGGTTAAAGAACTTATCCCAGATTCCCTATTCCCACACACTGATCTCGCGTAGATGTGATATTCCATGGCCTCCCCGCAGACCAGACCTTTCTCCAGCTAATTTCTTTCTATGGAGTTATCTTAAAAGTCGAGTCTAGAAAACTAAGAACAGTACCCCAATTAAAGGATAATAATTAATAATAAGGAACCTTTCCGAGGCTGAAACATACCGATACCTAGACACAGAAGATGTGTTTTATGCACGCTTGACCAAAGCGCTTAACAGCCTTTTGTCCAGTATAAATAAGACACACGCATATAACGGTTGGGTCATGCCTGATCTTATTTATACCTTTGGCATACTTAGATGGACTCAAACTGAACTTAATGTCTTGGATAGAAAAGTCCGCACTACTATGACGTCCCATAAGATGCATTACCCGAGATCGTCGATTATGAGGCTGTGCTTGCGACGGAAACATGGTGGGCGTGACCTTTTAAGCGCGCTTACTACCTTGTGATAAAGGACTTACCTCTCTATCCTTACGAGCATTGGCAAGACCCAGCAGTACAGAGCATCTCCGACAAAAGGAGAAGGAGCTCCACGGAAGGTTCTACAAGGCTCTACATGAGCCTTTCGTAGACACAGTTGCCTCCCTCCACTGGCTACGTTTTGGCGACCTCTTTGGGGAAAGCGAGGGTTTTTTCTGTGCGATACAGGATCAGGTTATTAAGACCAACAACTACCGGAGATACATCCTAATGGATCGCTCCGTCGACGTCTGTCGAGCTTGTCACCATCCCGGTGAGTCACTTAGCATGTCATTTCCGGTTGTATGGCTCTTTCTAACTCTGAGTACTTACACAGACACAATCTATTAGCCAGAATTCTACTCCAGGAGCTCGCTCTGAAATACGGTCTCGTGGATCGGAAACTGCCTTATTATAAGTACCTGCCGGGAGCCGTACTCGAAAATTACCGCGCTAGGCTCTACTGGGACCGGTCCATCATCACAGACAGGACTATTCTTGCGAATAAGCCTGATATTGTGCTGATGGACCGGGCACAGTCAAGGATATTTTTGGTCGATATTATCATTCCGACGAGAACCTCGTAAAAGCCGAAACAGATAAGCGAACAAAATATCTGGAGCTGACTCAAGAGGTGACCGACATGTTGGGTGGACCACCAACCGAAATTATACCTGTAGTCGTTTCAGCGAACAGGTTAATCCCAGTCAGCCTCTCGGGTCATCTGAGGTGACTGGGACTCCGTGACAGACCGCTCCAAGCTCATATGCAGAAGGCGGTGCTCCTCGATACCGCCCGCATCATCCGCCGGTTTCTTTCCCTTTCCCCCTAACCCTCGGCCATTTGGTCTCCCATGCCGAGGGCTTCCATCTGGTTGGATTTTTATTTATTTATGTATTTTTAATGTATTTATTTTATTTTATTGATATTTATGTATGTTTATCATTTTCATTTACAATTAAATATTTATACAGCCCAAACAGATGAGAAAACTTTATTGGTACCCCATAATAATAACAATTAATTCGTCAAGAAATGGGAAACATATCCAGCGCTCTGTGTCGAAGACTTTTTGAAAATCTAACGGCCAGATTTCAGGAACTCAGCGGCGAGACAGCGGCGACCTGGACGATATTATTTTTAAGAAATAATTTTCCCTTTTATATTCTTTATTTTAATTAAACATTCATTTGAATCTATTGTATAGTTTTTGCATGGTAATTTTAAGAGTGCAAAAACATATCACCCATCCATCCTGTATTATTCTATCTATTCTATTCTATTCTATTCTATTCTATTCATGCTCGGCGGTAAAAAGATCGCAAGAAAATCTACATGCCTAAGAAAATAAATAAAATCCATATGAATTCCGTTAACACGTAATTGGGCAGCGCGACTGACACTTCCTTGCGTTTAATCCGTCTAAAAAAATAAGAGGCGACTTATTTTGAGACTCATTATGGGTTGGCTGGATTAGCGTGTGCCGAGAGGTGGGATGTCAAAAGGCTGTAACTTTACTTCACTTTTAATCATGGGCGGAGCTACCACCGTATCAGCCGTATCAATGATACGGGGCCCGGGGCTACAGAGGCCCCAAACGTATGTAAGCAAAAATTGTAAGGACTTGTATGGGACCTAATTCTATGGGATCCTAGGAGTATTAATTATAAGTAATAACTTATAATCAATATATAATTATTTTAATTCAATGTGAAAGTTTTTGTTCCTTTTCTGAACAATCTTTACCCTTTATTTGGGCCCCCCGACAAATTTTGATACAGGGCCCCTCTAAGGCACGCTACTCCACTGCTTTTAATCCTAAGTTCGGAAAATATTAATTGAGTAAAAACTGATGAATAAACAAATCCTTAAATTATAGCCTGTAATCTGAGAGGTCATAAAAGAACGGGACAGTACAGCCCCTGTAGCTAAGTTGAATCTACAATCGTTAACGCTAACAGGAAAACATAACTACAAAAATGAATAGGAATGGCATAATACCTGTATCATAGAATTACTGGGTAATAATTCTATGATCTCTATCTATTAATTTCATTGATAGAAAGTCAATTTAGCTAACCCCACTGTTGGTCGGATGAAAAGTACTATATTTAACACCTGTATTCTATCAGTCGATTTTTTTTATAGAATTAGAGTGACAAACGAGCTCCAAACCCATAGACATCTACATCTATCTTCGCTTGCGAATTAAAATACAGAATGCGTTGTCAGCCGTGAGGACTAAGATAGAATACCTATTTTCCAGTAAATTAGGTCTCCGGTTCTCTACACTCACCATACGAAACAGCAGCATTAAGCTGCTATTTTACGCGGGTATTCTGTGAGAGCGTGGTCCTTCCCCGGTCGAGCCTACCCATTCGTGCCACAACTATACTATTAATATAGCTGCAGCATGGCTCTACCACGTAACAAAGTATAGTCCAGGTCTAGTATGTTAGGATTATAAGTTGAAACGAATATGATACTATTAGTTTTCCAAATATCAATCACATATTTGAAGCAATTCTAACTCACCTCCCTCTGACAAGGGCTCGTCTTTAATGGGCAGCAGCGGCACGAAGTCCGAGCCCTCTTCACTTGTGCCAAGTAACTGCATCTGTCTGTCTAGAAGCGTCGTTCCCTGCGTATTTTTTTTTCAAGGTAAGTAATCATTATTAATCATTCTTGTAAAAGCGTACACATTGCCCCATGAAAGAATTACTCACACTTTGGAGTCGCGTAACTCTTATAACTAACTTGTGCTTGTTCCTAGTATTTACAGAATGTAAATCACTATTTTTAATAAAACTATTTTTGTTTTGTGTACATACATTACATTTGCGTAAATATATTGAGAGACCAAAGTTAATATTATTAATAATATACTAAACTAATCTAGCTGTCTCAACACATGTAAGGTCTCTAATATTTTTTACAGCATATGCTGTAGAACTAAGTTTCCTGTAGCTAGTTTAAATATATGAGGAATCCATTGATGCTTTATTGACGTTAAACTACTGTATTATTTTTGATATAGCACTATCCACTTCGTCTTATTGTGAAAGACTTGAACTTTTTAATTTCAAAAAGTATAAGTCAAAAGTAGTTTTGAATAACAATCTTTAGTCAATATATTATGCTTATAATTATTTCCCTAAATTAGTCTAGTAAGATAGTTATATTACTAGACCATGCTCATAGCACCTCGATGAAATTTGTTCGCTTAAGAATTATTATACTGATCGTTCTGTTCAAGCTCAAATTCATATTTTCAAGCCGCCGTTTTCAATATTTGTGTTCGCCCTCAGTCTTTCCTCCATTTAGTATTTCAGTGCGCCATAATCAGTATTTTTTACACCCTTAATTTGAATTTATATTCAGTCGCTTAAATACCACCCTTTTAATAATTTCCTTTTAAACGAAGTATCATCAGCAAATAAAACTATATCATGGTTATTCCCTACCAAGTAAGGTAAGTCATTAATATAAACTAAGAACAGAAAGGGACCAAGAATTGAGCCCTGAGGAACACCCATAGATACTACCGATCCGGAAGAACTTCTCCCATTAATAACAACTGTTTACGTTCTATTATTTAGATACGATATAATTAGTTTGAGTGCTATGTTTTTTACACCATAATGATGTAGCTTCCTGATTAATGTCTCATAGTGAACGCAGTCGAAAGCCTTGGAAAGATCGCAAAATATATCCAAAACATCCTCTGAATTCTCCCATGCACAGAAAATATCTAGCTAATAGAATAATCAGCTCAACAATTTTTTTTACATTAAAAATCTTAACATTTGATCAAGAATAATTTTTTCAAAATTTTTACTGAACGTTGGCAGTATAAAAATAGGTCTAAAATAAGTGGGGTCCAATGTACTACCAGATTTAAATAAAGGTATAACTTTACTTCGTTTCGTTAAATCAAGAAACACGCCACATTCGATGATAATAATAGCAAGTAATAATAATAGAAAATAATAACAAGTTGATGAGCGATCGCATCTAATATAGACTCAATAACTTTATAACAGAAATCCCCCATAGATCTGCTGTTTTCTTAACATCAATAGTTTTGAAATATCATCTCCTGATCATATTTTATGAAATGCAAATTGTTTTTTTTTTAATAGGATAACAGTCCACCTGATGGTAAGTGGTTGCTGCGGCCCATAGACATCTACATCTATCCTCTGTTACAAATCAAAATGCAGATGCGTTTTCACCCGTGAGGACTAGGATGGAATGCCTCATTTCCAGTTAAAAGGGCCTCCGGCCACCTGCACTCACCAAGCGAAACGCAGAGGTAAACCTCTACTTCACGCTGGTATTCTGTGAGGTCGTGGTACCACCCCGGTTCAAGCCGGCCCATCCATGCGACAGCAAAAGCTGCCGCCTGGCTCTACCACTGAAGCAAATTGTTTTTACAGACATTTACATTTTGTTTGAATAATGACTCAGCGACAGTAGGGAAGGAATTCAGTGACTTTGTAGTTAAGATTGGAATGTCGTTAAAATATTGTTCAAAAGCCGTTGCAACATCTTGATCTGATTTTGTTAAAATTTAATTCAAAATTTGAGTTGTGCAATTTCTTCTTTTGCCAGTTTCGCTATTGATTATATTCCAAGTAATTTTAATTTTATTAGAGGCATTCTTAATTTTGTTTTTTAAATGTAAAGACTTAGCTTTGGAACACACTCTTTTAAATATTTTGGAAAATATTTTTACATATATTCTAAATGAAACACTATGATCTTTCATTGTAAAGGTCATATAACTTTTGTCTACTCCTAAGGATCTCTACTGTCGCCCACTCATTAATCGATAAGCGATTGTTTAAAGATGTGACAGAAGTGTTTTAGAATTTTATTAGAATAGAAGTAAATATTTTATTAAATTCAAGATTTGTAAGTTTAAATAATGATGCATATTATAAATAGTTAGTATTATTTTTATGTGGAAGAAATGGCAGCTTTTTCACTATATTACTTCTAAATCTCTAAGCGATGTTCATTTATTGGAACAAGCACAACTAGCTTAACCTTCTGTTTTATATGCACCTAAGGTAGTTAAACCAACGTCCACAATGATCAGAACTTAAATTTTGAATAATTAATTTATGCAAGGGCTCAACATCAATGATAATGATGACAATTATGACTACTCAGACAATGATGCAGAGATGAGCGAAATTTAAATTATTACATTCAGATTAATACTTTTTCGTTAATGGTTCTTTTGTAAATAAATATTACTTCAAAAATATCTGTTTTGCTCACCCTAACTATTTTGAATTGACAGCTATGACGTTACAATATATCTTATTCTAATTTGAATCGCAAAGTATATAGAAGTCTGAATAAGAAAACTCGCACGGAAACTGACTGGTGTATTGCGGGCAGGCTCGAGCGTCTCCAGGGTTTCCGGGGAGGCGCGGGGCAGGGGGGCGGGGCGCGCGCTCACCGGCGTGGCGGCGGGCGCGGCCGGCGCTGGGCTCAGCTCCAGCTCCTCAGGCACCTGCGCGTCATACAGCATCAGAGACAATAAAGATTGTTATTATGCTTAAGTAATTTATAAAACTACTTTATAAGGTAGTTAGTTAATCCTTTTTTATAAGTAGTATAAGGGTGACAAACGAGCACACAGTCCACCTAATGGTAAGTGGATGCCATAGCCCATAAATATCTACATCTATTCTTGATTAATAATCAAAATGCAAATGTATTGCAACCCCTGAAGACTAAGATGGAATGCCTCGTTTCCTCATTCTCTGAGGGCTTGGTCTTTCCCTGGTCGAGACAAACCATTCGGGCTACAACAAATATATAGCTGCAGCATGGCTCTACCACATAAATATATACACGTGGTATATTTTATTTCACTACCTACCCACAAAACAAGACTGTTAGTTCTTACGATAGATATAACGTTTGTATCAATATAAATACACCCTCTCTGGGTTTGACACGGTCATTCTGTCGTGGTCTACAGTACTGTAAAAATCGAAAGACTCATAAACTAAGTAACCTATTTATTATGCTGTTACATATATTATATTATTTCTTTTAAATGCTAATACAATATTGTGGTGTGTGTTATTAATAATAATGATAATGTCAGATCGAATTTTGATCATGGCGGCCAGCCTCAACGGAGACTAGCCATCGGCGCAAGACAGGATTATAGTGCCCAAGTGTATGCACAAGCACAGGTACACTCTCTATTCCCTCACTCTCATAGTCCGATGGAACGGTAAGCCGACATGACCGGAGAGAGATCAGACGTAGGACCAACGGTTTTACGTGCTTTCCGAGGCACGGCGCTAACTTCCTGACTCCGGGCAACTACTAAGAGTTTCTTGATGGAAAAAATCAAGCTCGGGATTCGAACCCAAGACCTCATGATCAGCAGTCGCACTACTACAACCACTAGACCAACGAGGCAATGTTATTAATAATATAATGTTGGTATGATATGATCTGCTTCTTATATATTTATGTGTTTTATTATTTACTAGCTGTGCCCGCGGCGTAGCTCGCGTATACAGTTTTTACATAAAGAATTTGTCGTTTAGGTAAGAGAATATTAAACGATTTATTTCATTACTGTATCAATAAGTGGTAACTAAATAAATCATTATCATCAAAGTTCTAAGTCGTTTATGATAGAGCTTCTGTGTAAACGACGTTAGAAGTAGGCTTAGCCGGGGTGTACACAAAAAGGTTACGGGGGCTACTAACGCGGGAAAAAGCAACATAGAGTTGGCCATGTGCAAAACAGTCAGTCATGTGCAAAACTCCTACAACGCGTAAAGTTTGACCTTGCGCTTTATTACGGTCATCGCATAACATACGCTCACTGTAACTGGGAACTGAACGCGCTTAAAACTGAAAGGAAAGTTACTTCTTAATAGAGGGTTTTTGGGCAGTGCTGCCAGATAAAAAAAAACTCATTCAGCTCTAGGACAACACAAAAAGCGCTAGATTTCATGAAAACAGCGCTTTAAAAAAGCCCTAGATTTCGCGCTAAATTAACTACAAACAAAGTTTGTGTTTTTTTATATAATCATAATAAAAAAACAACATTAAGTTTATTTCTGGCAATATTTTTTTGATGTATCAATACTTCGCAGGACATCGACTTATAATTATGGCATTTGCTGTCAACAGTAGTTAGTACTGTACGAACAATAAAAATGTCATTGTTTTAAAGTGCAATGTATTTCGCAACTTAGTTTCAGATGTCAGCATCTGATTGCGGTTGCTACACAGTTTCTTTGTGTTATAACTTCTAAGTAACTTTTAACTTAGCTGTGCTCTAAGCAACTGACTGAAACTGAATAAAGCAAAATAAATGCGTTGCCAAAATCATGAACGAAAACTTTAATAAAGGGGATTTCCCCGCTTATAGTCGTCGGTAAAAAAATCAAGTTGATCATCCTAAAGGGGTAGCCAGGAGATCCATAGCACAGGGTATCCTAGTTTGGACTCGTCTCCCATGCTCTTTGTTTTGTGGAAAAAATATGTTTGAAAAAGATAAACTGCAATGTACTATTTGTGGGAAAAAATAATAAAGGTCATTATTATTATTATCGGTAATGTGGACTAACAGTGCTGCTATAAAAGAGTTAATAACCCGCTAGTCGCTAAAATATTGAAATGTGTGCTAAATACACCAAAAAACGCTGGATTAAGCAAGGTGCTAAAATTTCGAAATGCGCGCTATACATTCCAAAAAAGCGCTAAATCTAGTTCCCAAAGCGCTAAAATGGCAGTACTGATTTTGCGTATATTATAAATACAATATCACGACATTTCGTTGCAAAATTTTTATTTTTGGTCGGGTTCCGTTGTATGGCTTCGATGGATACAAATTTCTTCAGTAAGTCTCAATACGATTCATCGGCGAAAAATCTCAACACAGCAATTCAGAAAAGTTTGTAATTTGTACAACTCCATCTATTACGTCCTTTGTGTGAGAAAACATCCTTTTTAAATCTCTTTTTATGTTTTAAGTATAAATATATTAATTATTATGGAACGTTTTTTTTACAGACAAATCTTTTTATTACTATTTCTGAGATTTTATGGCGCCATTGAACAAATTCGAACCTACATTTCAAAATAATAATCATTACTTTCGATAGAATTAATCAATTTTAATAAAACAAAGATTAAATGCAACTCGAAGATACGCTTTATGATTTTCTTAACGATTTCTTTGAAAATAAAAGATGTTTACTTTAGATGTGATGCGTTCATATAATAACAGACAAATAGACAGACAGACAATTCTAAAAATTATAAAATGTTCTTATTTAATTATTTTCAGTTCCCCATAATGATTTTAGCCACCAAAATATATATACAATGTACAGAAAGAGACACAACATGTTATCATCATTTTTATTATATGTATATATTTAAAGAGAGATGGCGCTGCTAACATCAATTCTAAAAATAAAAGAGATTAATTGACGCGATTGATACATTATATAAAACGCAAGAGAACTTATAAATCAGTGCCTGCACAGTAAGCAAAAAATAAAGTTTGACTCTCGCCAAAACCAACGCAATTGTTAGCTCTTTTAAAATTTGATTTACCACATAGAGTACTCGGCGGTAAAGAATAAATTGAGTTTGTCAACACGCAGTAGGGCAGCGAGTAATATAATAAAGATTAGCAGTAAATATGAAAACTCATCTACAGGAAAAAACCACATTGCAATTGCATTACATTTTCACAACACCACCATCTATCGAAGAAATGGGTTAACTATTGTGGTTCTAATTTAGTTAATAAGGTAATTTTAATACTTTTATACTTTTTAACAAAACTTTAATACTTTTGTTTACTGCGTTTTAGATATACATAATTATATCATTATTTTACATAATTTAACTATGATTTATGATATGATATTAGTTTAAAATGCACTTGATGACTCAAACAAAGCCACCGTTGAGCAAATTCGTACCTATACTTCCCTACCCATACTTCAGAATATTTATCATAACTTTTGATGGAATGAACTGATTTTAATGAAATAAAGACTAAATGTAACCCGAAGATACACTTTATACTTTCCTTAACAATTCTTATAATATAAATTAGTACATTATACGTGATACGTTAACAAACAAACAGACAGACAGACAGACAGACAGAAAATTCTAAAAATGGTAGAAATGTATTTAATTAGGTACTTATTTTTAGTACCCCTCAATCACTTTTATTACAAAAATATAAAATGTACAGACATCTGCTATTTACAGTTTTATTATATGTATAGAAGATGAGTTTGTCTTCATATCTTCTTCTGTCATCGATAAAGCTTAAATAATTTTTGCTGTTTACCTAGTAGTGTAAAATAGTTTGATTTAATGAAATCGTATCCTTCCCATACCTGCCTATTCAATTGAAGTGAAGTTTTTTTTTTATAGGAGAGGGGGCAAACGAGCATGCGGCTCACCTGATGGTAAGTGACTACCGCCGCCCATGAACAACCGCAACACCAGGGGAATTGCAGATGCGTTGCCGGCCTTTTAAAAAGGAGTAGGCTCTTTTCTTGAAGGTCCCTAAGTCGTATCGGTCCGGAAAAATCGCTGGTGGTAAACTATTCCACAAGGAAGTTGTGCGAGGAAGAAAACATCTTCTAAATCGCACAGTGGTGGACCGCCAATCATCCAGATGGTGTGGATGGTATCGGAGGTTCTGCCGCGATGTGCGTTTGTGAAATTTGGCGGCTGGGATTAATCCGAACAATTCCTCAGAGCACTCCCCATGGTAAATGCGAAAGAAAATGCTAAGAGATGCAACATCTCTTCGCAGTGCCAATGAGTCGAGCCGATCGGAAAGGACTCGGTCGTCGACGATTCGAGCCGCTCTGCGCTGGATGCGGTCAAGTGGAAGAAGCTGGCACTGGGGAGCCCCAGCCCAGAGATGGGAACAGTATTCCATGTGAGGCCGAACCTGCGCCTTGTAAAGTTGCAGGCGTTGAGCCGGCATGAAATACTGTCCCGCTCTGCTGAGCACGCCAAGCTTTTTAGAGGCCAATTTGGCCTTCTCTTCCAAGTGACCACGAAACTGCACGCTACTCGATATGTCGACGCCGAGGATTCCGATACTGGCTGAGGCAACAAGGGGAGTACCTTGAAACTGAGGAGATACGACAAAGGGGTTCTTTTTAGCGGTAAACGCGCAAACTTGTGTCTTCTGAGGATTAAACTGGACTAGATTTGGTCGCCCCCAATCCGAGACTTTGTCCAGCAAACACTCGACTTCAGACACAAGTTTGTTCCGGTACTCGGTGACGTTTTCCCGAGAAATATTGGCACGGCCGGTGTATAGAGCATCACCAGTGCTGTCATCCGCATAGCAATGAATGCTACCGGCTTGCAACATATCATTGATATGCAGAAGAAACAGCGTTGGTGATAGCACGCAGCCTTGTGGCACACCAGCGTTAATAGGCTTGTAGTCGGAGCATGCACCGTCTACAACGACCTTGATGCTCC